CTGATCAAGTCGAGTCCCATGACATGTAATTAATAATAAACAAATTTCGTAACCTATCAACTTCCCCATTATCATATGACCCCGTCACGGGTTTTCCTATCCGCTAAAATAGTTCACCAGAGTTTTCATCCTGAGCTGTCATTTTAAAAACATACCAATTTTCTGCGGGCACAGTGCGGCCGTGCTCTGGCCCATGGACGTGGATGAGGACGCTGACGAGGAACAGTTGGCACTGAGCGCAGAAGTAGATGCCGCAGCTGGTTCCCCTTTTCAGAAGAGAGGTTGCTAGGTTAAGATTCTGGGGTGTTTTCCTTCATTTTGCTGATCGGGGTTTAGTTTCGTTTTTGTTTTACAAAGAGTCAGCGAATTGAATCTCCGATCATGTCAGGTGTAGTGCGCGTTGGATGCCGGGATATTGCTGTGTACATTTCAGACACCTTACAGTCTGAGTGGGTTCTCTCACAGGCCCTGTTGTTTGTCATTTCATTCATTCTTGCGATGTTTCTTGCGGTTTCTTTCCGAAGTCTTTCAGTCTTATTTCTTCTGTTATCTGACTTGTTTCTGATTATTTTGGTGTCATGTTGTTTTCAGTTTTGCCAGGTGATGCTTCTATTCCTCGAAACAACGGACACGAAGCGCAGCCTGAAAGTGTGGCGGAAAGCTCGGCCCAACATCGTTGAATGGCATCACAGACTATGGCCAGGAATTCACATTGAGACACTGCATTCGAAGTATGTAAAGAACCAAAACGACCAAGAATCACACACGTGGTTCAAAGAAGCAACCATCAACACATCTATGTTGGTCTCGACTGTTTGCAATTTACTCAACAACAAACATCGAAGCCTGGTTTCGCGAGCGGAGGCATCTTCAGGTTTCGCAAAGTTGATATTGCTATTTTGTCAAGTCCTAGATGGAGTTGAGCTGACCCACGAGAGGTTTACAACTGACAGGGACGTGAATGCGCGTGGCCAGGGGTCCTTATTAGTGGACAGCTTCGGCAAAGTCGATTCCTCAGCATTCTGGTCGTCAGATTTCTGGACAACCAATGTGAAGAAAGCTTGGAAGTCTGATTTCTTAAACAAGGGAAAGACTTGGATCAACCAGATTGATGGAGGTGGTGATAGTGTACCGCTGGTTTCCCTCCTTTCTTTTGCACTCGACCCGCAGCGCGTCCCTTCGCTTTCCTCTTTGCTTATGACAGGGGTGTTGAACCTGCTGACAGAGATTTCCTTCATCATAGACACGTCGGTCCCTCATGTGTTAAGAGATGCAGCTCAACTTGAAGCCGATGCCCTCATCAAAAGTGCTAAGAGATTTAAAAGGGTGATAGTTTCAGTCCTGGCTGAGACTGTTGCGAACGAAATTTGGTCAGGAAGAGTCACTTGTTTATCAATTTTATTCTACAAACTTTTGGACCGTTTATTTTCCAGATTATATAATACATCTAAATTTACTACGCTCCTTGGCTTACTCTGATCTCACAGTCACATAGCGCTGGCCCAGGAAAGATTTGTGAAGTCTGCCATCAAGAAGTTCAGCAAGGTGCCTGTAAAACTAGAGGCAATTGTTTTGCCAGCCACCGCCGGGGTCTCAAGTCAATTCCAGTCGTCCGGATGGATTCTAAATCATCAAACAGTGCAAAGCAACATGAACAAACATATTTAAAATATATAATATAATATGCTAGGCCAACAGTCCTATCTTTAATATATTTTTAACTGATGATGTTTTTGCAATATCTGGATGGGCAGTGTGTTCCGGTGACGAACTGAGTTCATGTACCTCTGCTCTGCGCTGCAATTCCTACGCTCTTGCTTCACATACCACGTCGTGACCTCAAATGGTGTTGAATTGGAGTTGGACCAATGTCAAGCTTAATAAATGGTATGTAAGAACAACTGACATTTGATCCCCATTCCGGTTCCAGAATTAACAGAGACTGTTGTTCTGTTACTATTCAATCACCATTACGTTGCTGAGATCTTTGTGGATGCTTCGTCAGTGGGGAAGCGCCCCACTGAACTGGCATGGGTGTGGTGTTTGCACCGGAAGTGCAGCGTGGCTCCTGGGCCCCACCACTGGCTGGGGCGCTCAGGGCTCACATGTCTCGATTCTCACAGTTCAGTCAAGAGTGTGTTGAATTTTTTGGTGTGTTCATTGAATTAAACATGATGATGAACAGTTCCAGTCAATCTAGTTCGGTTCACAGGCGCTTCTGAGGACCTTTTTGGTTCAGAGTTCAGAGTGCAGAGATGGAGAAACACAAATGGATAATTTTCACAATTATGATGATTTCAACTGAATCTAGTTTCTAAAAAAGAATCAGATCAGTCGTGGAAGACATCTGCACTTTCATGAGTGACTTTGGAAGTTGAACCTTTCGATTCAAATTCTTTCTGACAGCAACCATGGCAGCATCCACTGACTGGTCGCTGCGTAGCGAGACTGTCAGCGATGCTCCGGCATGCAGCCAGAGCACTTCATTGTCTGAAAGTTCTCTTGCGGCAGAGGCTGGAACAACACATCTTAAACAATTTATTTGAACCATGTTGACAAGATTTTAATTGCAAGAAATAATATTATATGTTAGGTAACCAGTTAAAATTGGTACGGGGACTCAATCAATTCTGGCCGCTGGCCAGGAATTGGAGCGCTCCAAACCGCTAGCCCGAGCAGCCCGTGCTGTGCAACTGGCGTGGCGCTTCATTTGCTCAGCTGTTCCACTTGCTGACCTCAAGGACAGGTGTTAAATTCAAACCAATCACCACACTGTTCAGCACCTTTCAAAAAATGACCAAAGTGGCTTTATCATATGGTTTCGTTCGTTCTATTGCAATAACGCTCCAGGAATCTATGTTATTTAGTGTGCAACACACTTCGTCTAGCTGCACTGGCTCCTTTAGCGGAGAGATGGCAATGGCTGTGGTTGAGCGCACAGTGAATGATTCCGGGCGTGTCAAGGATCGCAAGGTCTTCTTTCAACCAGTCAGGTGCCATGTTACCAGGTTGCAATTTCAGAAAATGTCTTCTTGAAATCATCCAAAAACAATTCTTTGGTTTTGACATTTCAGCCAAGCAACGTAACGAGATCCGTAAGTAAGTAGTCCTTTCCAATTCCTTGGGTTTGGGATCGCGCTGCTCAGGAAATCAATGCACGTTGCCGTCAGTTGATTGTGGACCACATGCAGTGGTACAATACTGCAACTGGGTGTGCTCATGTTCATCCATGTATACACGGCGATTTGACAGAAATAGTTCCTGAGGGGAGCTTTGACACAGGGGCAAACTTTGAAACACGTGCAACTCAAATAGATCGCGCTGATTTCTGTGCCGATCAGTGGTGTTTTACGCATGGTCAAGACTGCCCGGTTTTCCGGAAGGGTTGTCGGGTAGCTGAACCTGATTTTGACCTAAGCGGACTTCCATGCCCGGACCATTCCAGGGCAGGCAACAGGGCGTATGAGGAGGGTACCACATCATCTGTGTTCGCATGCCATGCGAAGATGCACGTGCACTATCAGACTCCAATGCTGTGCATCGAGAATGTCTGGGACAGTGTTGTTGAAATTTTCTAAAGATTGTTTCCTTATTAGTAACTTTAATTTTTTTAGTACTTGTTTGAAATCAAAATCCTATTCATTAACAAATTGATGCGCAACGATTGCAGGACCTGGCAATGCCAATGATTCACAGGCTCTATGGGAAGCACTACAACATCCATCCGATTTACGCTACCCCCGGCGACCAGGGGCACTCCGGGGTTGCACGGGACAGGGTGTATGTCATTTTGACTCTGAAGACAAAGGTCGTTCCCATCACTGATCTTCAGCTCCTGTATGACAAAGTGTCAGAGTACGTACAAAAATATATCTGCACAAAGCCTTCAGATTACCTGGTGTCCTCAAAGCTTGACCTTCTGGTTGAAGCACGCAAGACTGCAACGTGCAGACAGATTCGTCTCCGACCGGTGTTTGGGTGATGGTTAAAACGCTTTTCTGTTAGACCCTTTTTGTTCTACGCTCAGCGTTCTTGTTTTCATTTGTTTTCTATGAAATCTTGCCTCAAATTCACGGGTCAACCTTAAGTTCAATTATACCATCCATCTCCCCTTGTTCGCCTAGGTACGTGATGGACCTTACTCCATGAAATACCTTCTGAACCAGCGTGAACTAGACTGTGTCGATTTTGCTTCTCAGAAATACAGTGAGCGTTTTCCTGGCAAGCGGCTTCAAGATGATCCGGATGTTTTCCTGTTTTTAGGAGACAATGCACGGAACCGCTTGACATGGTCTGCAGTCAGCGGCCGCATACCCACCTTTAGAACGGGAGGTGGGCGAATGTATCATCCTCACACACAAACATGGATGGGTCCTAAGGACCGTTTAGCTGCACTCGGTTTCCCTGTAAACGAGGAAACTGCTTCTGCGATGGGGGTGCCCATCTTACCGATTGCTGACAATCTACGGGCCGCGTCCGTCGCTGGAAACAGCTTTCATTTTATGACAGCTGCTGTGATTCAGCTAGTTGCCCTGAGCAGCTTCAAGATGCGTGACTGAGACACCCTGATTTGTGAGGTGTTATAGTTTTTTTAATAGGAAAGGAAACCATCGTTAAAAAAAACGTGTGCGTCACTATTTAAAATGATAACCTTACATGTTACATATTAATGTGTTGTTTTGTTGGTTTGCAATAGTCTGCAAAGAATGGGTGAATCAGTGTTTTGATCTCCGTTTCACAGTTTCAGCAGGCAAATCAGATTTCCTGCCGGATTAGTTTTTTCATTTCAAGAATTTAACATAAGCGCATTCTTTTAAAAAAATCAAAGGTTGTCGCAATCCAGCATCGGAAAGCTGCGCAGTTTTTGAAAATCAAATGGTAATTTCGTCGGAAATTCACATGACTAGTTTTCATTTCAATTTGATTTGATCCGTCAATCATCAGAATGCTCAAGACCGTGTAACAAGACCTTAACTGCTTTGACCTTTGTGTTTGCAGTGATGGCTCGCCGTGGGAAAGGCAGAGATGATGAGTCAGAGAAGTCTCGAGAACGTGGAAGGTCCCCAGTCAGAAAGCGCCCCCGGAAGACGAGTGAGTCTGGGGCGTCTCGGCCCCGGTCGAGTCGACCTACTGTGCCGCCAGCCCATCACATGGCAAGCAGCAGTTCTGAGTCTTCTGATGATTCGACGTTGCTTGTTTTTTTTTGGTCGCAACTTGTATGGTTTCGATTCTCCAATGACGACAAAAACTTGCGAATTCCAACAACCTGAACATTTTTATTTGAAGGGGTTTTATCGCTTTCAAAAACTTCATCCAAGTGAGGTTCATGGGGGAGCCTGTCGTTGCACCCGAAGCAGAACAAACTGTCAACAAGGAACCGAAAAGATCCCGCGGTCCAGGTGCGAAGGCCGCCCCCGCCAAGCCCAAGAAGAAGGGCACTAAGCCGAAGGCAGACGAAGACTCCCGAACTGGCAACCGCCGGATCAACACTGACACCTACAAGAGTCAGAGGGCCGTGAAAGATTTTGTGGCTCCTCATCTGACTGATGCTGTCATTTTCATATATTTTCATTTTCAAAGAAAAAATTGGACAATGAAATGAACCAACTATTCCAAACGTATTGTGCATGACTATCAAAAGTAACCGGGCGTGTGGAATCACACATCGTTTTTGTTCCATTTTTGTTGCACGCTTCTTTCATATCTCAGGATTGCCATTTCGTGGATTGGATTGTGGCATGCGATCCAACATATCTACCCAGGGATGTGTTCCAGTACGAGAAGCGCAGCCGGTTGCTATCAGCCGTCGCTTTTGTCACTGGTTGGTTGCCTGATGACCCGAAATTGTCGCAACTAGTCTAGACAAGAAAAACACCTGTTTTTCAATTGTTGTTTTGGTAACTAAATGTGTTTTGGTATTATATATATATGGTTTTTGTTGTAATCACCTAGGCATAATGTCAATTATTTTGGGGGGCACCCAGATGTTTAACCGTCCATCCAGATCATCCCAGGGAAGAGAAGCAAGAGGTCTTGGATGGGGCAACCGACCAGTACAACCGTCGCAACAAGCCGGCAGAATCGACGGGCTGGTCTTCTGCCGAGATCCACAAGTACATGCAGTGGCAGCTTGACCTTTATTCCAAGGGAAAGCTGAAGAAGAGTCAGGTGGGAGGATACGCTTGGAAGCTCCCCAAGCGAGACCCCAACGGTCAGCCACCTCCGCTTCCAGAAGAAGTTCTGGAATTTCACAAGAAGAAAAAGAATGCCAAAAAGGAGGACGAGACAGAGGAGGAGGACGAGGGCGACGACGAGGAATATTCCGTGGAGGTGTCCAAAAGCGGCAAGATTTCCCTTGTGGAGAACGAGAGCGGGAGAAAGGTGGCTTTGCCAGCTTTGACAAAGAAGGGGAAGGACTACTTCGTCTACTACTCAGACAAGGACGACCAGTGGGTGTTGGGCGGTGGCAATCCGGATGACTGTGAACCAGAATTTTGTGAAGTCATCTTTGGCCGTGCATTTGCAAAAGTAGACGCAAAAAGGACAAGCCTGACAAGACCGACGTGGCGAAGCGGAAGCCGGGTGACAAGGCGAAGGGTGACTCTGGACCGTCTGGAGACCGAGATCATGGAATTGCCAGCAAGCCACGAGTCATGAAGGGGATGGCGGCTAAAGGCATGTGGCTCAAAAAAGACACAATTCATATAATTCATTTGGTCTGTTTTTCTTTTGACTCTCTACGTGTAAAAGCAAAAAACATGTAAAACCTAAAGAACATTGAGCCCAACTTTTTTGATAAACTATTGCGCTAATGCCATATTCATTTTGCCCTTTAGAACCCGTGTTTTTTCTATTCTGCCACCTGTCCGTCTTGGCAGGCCCTCTTCAACCTGGAGCACGCACCAGCAGCCACGCAGGTTCGGCTATGACAGGGTCAACCAGAGCACCATCAACCAGAGCAGCATCAGCGTCAGCAGCAAAAGACCCAGCTTCTGAGTCTGACAAAGAGGAGAGCATCCCGGCCTCAGACGTTGAGTCACTTTTTGAGTACAAGGAAAGTGAGAAGGATGAGGCTGAGGAGGAACCCGATGGTGAGCCAGATCTACGTCCACACATTGAGTTTTTGAAGCCTGCAGTAAAGGACGGAGAAGACAAGATGGCTTTGCTCACCTCGCCCAAGGACGGATTGGAGCTCTTACTGCCTCCAGGAAAGGAGTGGAAGCTGTCGAATGTGACCACGGCTGGTGGGAATGAAGAAACCATGCTCGTTTGCACTTCCGACCAATCAGTCAAGAAGCGCTATGTTTACCAAGCCATGAAGAGCAGCCAGGCCAAACCCATTGGCACGGCATTGAAGGGGCTGGAGTCAGCAAAAGAACCGGACAGCTACGTTCCGTCAGGGCGCAAGACCATCAAGCAACCTCCCACTCCAGAGAGATCTACTCGCCCAGTCCCGAAGCCGCTGCCAGAGGCAAAAGACGCAGCAAAGGAGGAGGAGCCGCTTGAAAGGGAATTGGAAGCAATCGAGAAAGCCAGCAACGTCAAGGGTGACCCAGACAAGAAGAAAGCCAAGACCAGTGATGCAGATCCTGGGGACAATGACAAGTCCGAGTCGAAGGTTAAGAGCGGTGATTCCGGGGACAAGGCCAAGGAGAAGACCCTGAAGAGTGACGCGGACACGGAAAAGGTGAAGGGGAAAAGCGGCGATGGAGACTCTGGGGACAAGAAGAAGGAGAAGAGTGGCGATGGCGGGGACAAGACGAAGGGGAAGAGCTCAGGCTCAGGTGCAAACAAGGACAAGGCCAAGGACGGCGACAGCATGGATGTGTCCTGAGCCTATTTTTTATTTCAAAGTTCCGTACTTTTGACTGATCGGATGGCAGCCTAGCAAACCCTGTGTTGAAATAACTTGGTTCATTCTGTCTTGATTTTTCCTCAGTAAAGCATATCCCCGGGACTTTTTCCACAATTGCAGTTTGTGACCTTACTATTTCAGAAAAGTTGAGTTTTGCAAGGTATTTGAACTTATTTTGACCTTATTTTGACCTTATTTTGGAAAAAGTAGAGTTTTGCAAGCTATTTGACCTTATTTTGACCTTATTTTGACCTTATTTTGACCTTATTTTGACCTTATTTTGGAAAAGTACAGTTTTGCAAGCTATTTGACATTATTTTGACCTTATTTGACCTTCAGACCTTATTTTGGCACTTTGCAAGCTATTGACCTTATTTTGACCTTATTTTGGAAAAGTTGAGTTTTGCAAGCTATTTGACCTTATTTTGACCTTATTTTGACCTTATTTTGGAAAAGTTGAGTTTTGCAAGCTATTTGACCTTATTTTGACCTTATTTTGACCTTATTTTGGAAAAGTAGAGTTTTGCAAGCTATTTGACCTTATTTTGACCTTATTTTGACCTTATTTTGGAAAAAGAGTTTTGAGTTTTGCAAGCTATTTGACCTTATTTTGACCTTATTTTGACCTTATTTTGGAAAAGTTGAGTTTTGCAAGCTATTTGACCTTATTTTGACCTTATTTTGACCTTATTTTGGAAAAGTAGAGTTTTGCAAGCTATTTGACCTTATTTTGACCTTATTTTGACCTTATTTTGACCTTATTTTGGAAAAGTAGAGTTTTGCAAGCTATTTGACCTTATTTTGACCTTATTTTGACCTTATTTTGGAAAAGTAGAGTTTTGCAAGCTATTTACCTTATTTTGACCTTATTTTGACCTTATTTTGAAAAGTAGAGTTTTGCAAGCTAGACCTTATTGGACCTTATTTTGGAAAAGTAGAGTTTTGCAAGCTATTTGACCTTATTTTGACCTTATTTTGACCTTATTTTGACCTTATTTTGGCAAAGTTGAGTTTTGCAAGCTATTTGACCTTATTTTGACCTTATTTTGACCTTATTTTGGAAAAGTAGAGTTTTGCAAGCTATTTGACCTTATTTTGACCTTATTTTGACCTTATTTTGGAAAAGTAGAGTTTTGCAAGCTATTTGACCTTATTTTGACCTTATTTTGACCTTATTTTGGAAAAGTAGAGTTTTGCAAGCTATACTTATTTTGACCTTATTTTGACCTTATTTTGACCTTATTTTGGAAAAGTTGAGTTTTGCAAGCTATTTGACCTTATTTTGACCTTATTTTGACCTTATTTTGACCTTATTTTGGACCTTATTTTGACCTTATTTTGACCTTATTTTGACCTTATTTTGGAAAAGTTGAGTTTTGCAAGCTATTTGACCTTATTTTGACCTTATTTTGACCTTATTTTGGAAAAGTTGAGTTTTGCAAGCTATTTGACCTTATTTTGACCTTATTTTGACCTTATTTTGGAAAAAGTAGAGTTTTGCAAGCTATTTGACCTTAATTTGACCTTATTTTGACCTTATTTTGGCATTATTTTGGAAATGTTGAGTTTTGCAAGATTTTAGTTCATTTTGGCGTCATTTTGAATTTATTTCGGAGAACTGTAGTTGGGCAAGCACTTTGACCGCTTGATTTAAATTTAGTTTCGGCTTTTTTGGAAACATCCAAATTTGCTCGGATTTCTGCTTTAAAATTCAAAAATTATTTTTTTAATTCAGTTCAGCCAAAAAAAGCGCTTATTTAAGGCTTGAATGTGCTTTCATTTTTTTAGTTGCCACCAACAATAATTACCATTAAGTTTCTAGCATTTTTCCAAGAATCAAAGCATATTATAATGTCAGAATATATGTCAGATATCACTCGAGTGGGGATCGCTTGAAGAAAGGAATGCATTCTGCTCTGACCAAACTTTCCGAAATGATGTGGTTTCTTCGGCCCAGTGGCGCTCAGCACACGCGCGTGCACACACACACACACAAACACACGCACATAAATAAATAATACAGAGAACAGGCAAAAACCAACTCAAGTTTGCATGAGTCAAACTGGGTATTAAATTTTAATATTTAAATCAAACGAGGGTAAGTCAAACGCGTCACTAAAAGTGTATCTGATCATCAAATTCGGATTTGGTGGGCTAACCACAACCAAAACCATTTAAATTTAATGACGCACTTTCTTTCTTCAGTCACAAAATTTCACGAGTGTTGCGTGAAACCAAAATTAATGATGAGTCAAGGGTCTTTGCACTTGCCACAACGCAAGGGCTGTCCGATCACTGGGTCATAGCGGAACTATGAATCCTGAGTTAGCTCAGGAGTTGCTTTGGTGCGTGGCCGGTCGCAGAAGCATTTTGGAATTGTTAAACTGTGAAGACATGATGGTTCAATCACCCTGATAGATGGGCCACCACTCGCAACAGGCTTTTGTAGCTGTGCATGGTTAGGAGTGCTGGCTGACCACTGACGTGACGTAGAGTCTAGGGTCCAAATTGATTGTTTTGATCAGTGTGCTGAACAAGTTCCTTGGATTAGATGCTTAGTTTGTTTCTGTTGGGTGCATGGTCACCTCATGACATCCGTATTTCAATCAAACCTGCGTGTTTTCAGTGTCAATCGGCCGCCCCTCGTCAAATTCAATGGTTTCCACCTTGTCAATCCCACAATTTCGACGGGCACAGTGGCAATTATCGATCATTTAGATGATTTGTTCTACAACTTACTTTTTCTGGATTCATTTGAAACTAGCAGAAAATAAAACAAGTTCAGAGGGTGCCAGAGTCCAGCAGTCGAAGCACTGACTGACTGAGTTGCGCCCAACAATTTCTGTGCCCAGTGTCCGATGCAGAACAGGGTTGGAAGGCTGTCAGACTGTCACCTGTGCATCAGTCGTCGCTGGTGCCAAAACAAATGGCTCACATGTCATGCCTGCAAATCAAATGAATTTCAAATTAGTCCAAGCACACGAACTACTTTGAAATCCCTGTTGATTTTTTGTGGATTTGAATCGAACCGGTTTCGATTACAGTTTTTTTTCTGTCTGCCAGGCCACTTGAAGTCTGGATTGAACCGGTCCTCTTGTTTTTGAGTGTAGAAAGCTGTCAGCTTCAAATTCTTGATTTCTCTGACCCTCCCGATACGTTCTTCGACTGACGACCATGGCTGGCCTCCATATGAAGAATGAGACGGGTGGCACCGATGGGTCCTCAGATGTGGCAGGGAGCGCAAGCCAGGGCAATCATGGTAGTTCTGCTGAACAATCTAAGATTGTCTCCTTCTTCAAAAAGCAGATGACGAATGATTCCCCTAGTGAGAAGCGCCAAACTACTATCAAGAAGTTCTTCTTGAAGCAGAAGGGTGGAAACATGCCTACCAAGAAGACCCGCTTTGTCCAAATCAAGAAGACGGTCTTGAAGCTTGGTTCTGCTGATGCAACCCAACAAAATATCAAGAAAACAACGGTCGGTGGAGATGGAACATCTAAACAGACCGACCCCAGCATGACCAAGCCCAACAAGATGGAACCTAAAGATGTCCAGAAGAATTGCGGCCCGCCCCGTGAGTGTTTTAGTGCTCTTTGGTCGGGCGGGGTGCCCATGATGATGGACGGGGGCTTCAACAGGAAAATGACCCGCATTGATCCAGAGGGCTTTGGGCTTGGGTGTGAATCACCGTCCCCGCGCCCTGCACTTCGACGCTCGGAACGATTGGGTTCGGGATCTTTTGGTTTGTCCCCGACAACCACTGAAGAGTTTCCTGGTGATGATTCGGAAACTTCCCCGTGCCAAGCATCTCCAGCGGCATCATCCACGAATCGCCAGCCCAGTTCAACAGTCGAATCCTTGCCAGCCTCAAATGCCAAGAGTCAGTAGACAAGTGGATTGGGTACCACAGGATCTATGGCTTCATCAAGTGGCTGAAGTAAGTAAGGTCTCGTGAGAGTAGGATATTGTAGATAGCGAAGCTTTTTCATTTGACAGCCAAACTTATTTTGTGTCAGTGTCACGGAACTGGTCCTGTCAGAGTCGTGAGGGCTTTGACCATCTGACAGACAGTCGTGAGTTTGTTCCTATTCAGATTCACATTTACTTTCCTGGAAATTTACTTGCTTCTGTACAGTCGTCATTCGATGAAGCACAAAAGTCACCAGCCCAAAGTTTCAACTGGGCAAAAGCAGCGCGTGAGAGAAAAAACGGTTTAGTTTACTGAATCTCAAGTCGATAAATTTCCGTTTGATTCATGAGATGAAGTTCCGCTTGATTCATGACTCACTTCATTTTTGAACGGGCAGTCAGAAAAACACGCTTCAAATTTGAAAAATCTCGTGATGTGGACAGAAACTGACCAAGGGACCATTCAGCACGATTCAGCCGTTGTTCAAGTCAATCTTTCTCTACTGCAGAGCCAACGACGGAGGTCTTGCCAAAGACCACTACAGACCTCTTGGATGGGCGAGCTGTTTTCAGGCCAGGTATGTTCAAAATGACACGCTGACATCAATGAATGCAGTGACAAACCAGTTCAAACAGAATTGAAAGAAACCTGCCAACTTTCAATGGATTCAACTTGACTTACTTACAGGCCAAGAATTTCAAAGAAAGAGTGCAATTCTTTCTACGTTCTGACCTTGGAATCATGCATGTGACAAGGCACAGTCGATCAAGGTTTGGTGGTTTCTTCACGTGTTTGCCCCGCTCGTTTGAGTGTGAAAACTTTGAGATACTTCTGTCATCTCAATGTGTCCCTATTTCAAAGTTTAGAGTGTGAATATAATATATTGTACATACATCATATTCACATATTAAGTCATCGTATGTGCATAAATGATCGCCATACTTTACTAGTGCATACTAGCTGGGAGAAATGCGGCTAAGGTCACCATGCGGGCCATCCACCACATTCTGATGCTGATGACCGGTCGGTCCTTAGATTTTTTCATTCCCGAGTGGGCGAAAAGGAATCG